TGTTGCAAGGTTGGAGGGTTTCAGCTATAGGGAGAAGCTGAACAGACTGGGGCTATTTTTCCTGGAGCATTGGAGGCTGAGGGGTGACCTTCTAGAGGTTTATAAAATCATAAGGGGCATGGATAGGGTCTTTTCCCCAAGGTGTGGGAGTCCAAAACTAGAAGGCATAGGTTTGAGATAAGAGGAGAAAGATTTAAAAGGCACCCAAGGGGCAACATTTTCATGCAGGGTGTGGTGTGTGTATGGAATGAGCTGCCAGAGAAAGTGGTGGGGGCTGGTATAACTACAACATTTAAAAGGCACCTGGATAGGTATATGAATAGTAAGGGTTTAGAGGAATATGGGCCAAATGCTGGCAAATGGGACTAGATTTATATAGGATATCTGGTTGGCATGGACAAGTTGAACCAAAGGGTCTGTTTCTGTGCTGTCTATCTCTATGACTCTATAACTCTGCTGTCGTGGACAGAGGTGTCAAATTTTTCTGAATGTGTGTTTGTGTACAGGAGAGGCAGATCAATTTCTGCAGAGTAACCTGCTGCCCGGATAGATTAAGATGCGACATTTCTGGTCCAACCATGACTTCAGCTCTTTAGTGATGCAGTAAGTCAGACTTTGGGGAGTGGTGAAGGTTTGACTCATTAAATAAAGTGATCGATTCCTGAATGTCAGAATTACAAAGATAGTCATGGAGTATCTGGGAAAAAAAAAAAGTGCTGGAAAAACTCAGTAGATATGGCAGCAACTGTGGGGAAAGAAACACCAAGTTAACATGTCAAGTGCAATATATTGCTTGCTTCACAAATCTATCATCTGCAGATTTTTCTGAAGAAGGGTCCAGACCCGAAACGTCAGCTTTCCTGCTCCTCTCAAGCTGCTTGGCCTGCTGTGTTCATCCAGCCCTACACCTTGTTATCTCAGATTCTCCAGCATCAGCAGTCCCCACTATCTCTCTATCATCTGCAGTACCTTTATATTACAGAGTATGTTAAAAGTTGGTTTGCAAAACAGAGGGACGCCAACAGTGTGGGTTTAATTCCAACACTTACTGAGGTTATATGAAGGATTCGGCTTCTTAATTTCCTCCCTCACCTGAGATGTGGGACTCTCAGGTTCAACCATCACCAGTCATCTCTGTCTAATGAGAGAACAGCCCTCTGGCCTGGTAGGACTGTCCCACCGTAGGTCAATGAGTACAGGAAGAAGGGGAGAGATTGTGCGCTAAATTGTTTGTGATGTCAGGCAAAAAAATCCTGCATGTTAACTGAGACTATAGGTTAAGCATTTACAATGTCTTCACTCTGCCAGCTACAATTTATTGGATAAACAGATGTATTGACTCTGCAAGGCACACACAGTAGGGAGCGAAGAGGAACTTTAGGGTATTGAAAACATGCTGCAGGCCCTGCGTAAGTTGTGGAATCGTGCAGTGCACCCTGACACAACGGTGAAGACTATGGTGGCATCTTCCACCTCTGAAACAATTATGCTCCAAGTTGGCTTCAATGATACTGTGAACGAAAAGGACAACGGGCAAGATTGTATTAGAACTTTTATTCAGCTGAAGTGCGTTGTAGAAAACAAATTGCCTGTAAACAAAATGCAACACAGAAATTGTAAACATTTATCCAAGACCAATTTTAGTAATCCATTGGTTTAAACGGCAATCATAGAAAACTGAACATTTTAAAATCGCAGAAGGTAATGAGAAATTTGGATCATGAAAGGACATTGCTCTGTGAAATGCTGCCACCAAGTGTCAGAAGCATGCTACTTCAGACTGATGTCACAGCAAGTGACTGGTGAACAGGATATGACATAAGATAACACAGTGTGGAGCTGGAGGAATACAGGAAGTCAGGCAGTAGCAGCGGAGAAGAAAAGTTCTTGTTTTGGGTTGAGGCCTTCTTCAGAAATGGGGGAGGGGGAAGGGAGCTCAGAAATAAATAGAGAGCGGGGGTGGGGCTGGGGAAGGTGGGTGGGATGGTGATAGGTGAGTGCAGATAGGCTGGGTGGGGATTGGTCAGTGAGGTGGGAGGTGTAGATAGGTGGAAGAGAAGATGGAAAGGTTGTATCAGGTCAAGGAGGCGAGGATGAGAGGGAGGGTTGGTCATGGGATGAGGCTGGGGGTGGGGAGATTTTGAAACTGGTATAACTGGAGGAGCAACAAGTCATATGTCACTTCTGGAGCCTACAGCCCAATGTTCTAAATGTGGATTTTACCAGTTTCAAAATCTCCCCACACGCCCGGCCTCATCCCATGACCAACCTTCCCTCTTATCCCTGTCTCCTTGACCTGACACAACCTGTCTATCCTCCCTCCCACCTCACTGACCACTCCCCACTACTCTCTACCTGCACTCACCTATCACCATCCCACCCCCCCTCCCCAGCCCCACACCCCCTCTCCTCTCTCTATTTAGTTCAGAGCTCCCTTCCCCCTCCCCATTTCTGAAGAAGGGTCTCAACCTGAAATGTCAACTTTCCTGCTCCTCTGATGCTGCCTGGCCTGCTGTTTTCCTCCAGCTCCACACTGTGTTAACTCCGACTTCACCATCTGCAGCTCTCACTATCTCTGAATGACATAAGATACAGTAGCTTTATCTAGTGGGTGCAATAAAAGTCCTTCACAAAATCACGATGGTACTACTCAACCTCCTAGCAAGGTGTGTCCAGCATGTCTAATGTGTTTCCGATTGGACTCAATGGTGCTCAATGGTCCCTAGAGTTTGCCAATACCAGAGATCCTTTAGCAGCAGACCTCTGTCACAGATATCTGTAATCCTATTCCTAATCCTGAACTAACATCAATCAAACCATACATCTCACACTCTCAAACACACACACACCCTTGGCTTTAACACATCTTCTCCTATCTTTATTCTGATATAGCAGAATTTGCCCTGCAGAGATATTTGGCAGACCACCCATGATGAAAAGTGACTGTTTGGCATCATTGCAAGGGCTAGGAGTCAATGGGTGATGAGCCATTGGTCTCAGGTAAGTGCACAGAGGTGACCAGTCTTCTCTCTCCCCTACATTCAAACTGTCATACTGCACTGTGAGGATGGGAAAATCTGTATCTACATCATTGTCCCTGGAGTAATCAGCTGTCCTCCAGCAGATTCAACCTGCAAACTGCGTGGAAAAAATGATACTGCAGATGATCTTTTACAGTAATTTTATCTTTAAAATATCTTTTTAAAAGTTGATCTAAGACGATTTTATAACAAGAAGCCTAAATTAAAGTTATGGCATCAGTTTCTCAGCTTGCATTTATTCAAGGGGAAATACAATGGCAGCAGTGCAAACACGGTCCCAAATTTGTTATTAAGTTCATTGCACTGCTGCGTGTTGTAAAACTGAGCTGGATCATACAAAGAATTCATCTCGCCAGGATTTCTGTAGCTAACTGGGACATTGGTTTGAAATGCTAATTGAGGTCACTAGATAATATAGTAATACAGGAAAGAGTGAGTTTGGTTATAAATCCTATTTATAATTGCTACATTTCTTGGTCATTTATCTACAGAAAAGATTCTGGTCTGATTTATATTGAAATGCAATTTAAAATGAACTCTCAAAAGCAGATGGCAGCTTGGGCTGGAGGAGAAAGATTCATATGGCAAACCAAAGATGAGCTGTACTCTACATTAGAGGGACCAAAATCATCTTACTTAAAAAAAAAACTTTAGTCTTTCCATGTGTTTTCATAACTTGACTCCATAAGTCACTGACCTCATATTTATACATATGGGTTCTGCTACTGTTATTTGCAATTCCTCTAAATCCATCTTGTGCATTATTTCTTGCGCCATTACTACATCTTCTACCTTGTACTTTCATCCCTTTAGGCATTTAATCGGCTCGTTTTTCATCCATTACAGACCTTATTTTTGTTCTTTTCTCCAAACTCCCACCTTTTGCCTATGTTAAATCTCTATCCTCTTCCAGTTCTGATTAACTGAAACACTGTCTCTTCATGCACATGCTGCCTGATCTGGTACTATCAGCATTGTCATTGCTTTGATTAAAGTCATCGAAGCCATCATCCTCAACCACAAGGAATAATGAGGAGGTGATGTTTAACCCTACCTTCCAGGTTTATTGTGGTGTTGATGATAACAATATCCATTTTAAAATCAAGGGGCAGGCAGTAGCGGGTGCAGATGCTGGAAATCCGAAACAAAAAACAGAACCTGAAGAAACCCAGCAGGTCTGTCAGCATCTCTGGAGACAAAGCAGGTTAATGTTTCGGATCCAGTGACCCTTCTTCAGAACTGATTGTAGCTGGGAAAAGGTTGGTATATACATGCTGAAGATGGGGTAGGGTAAGGAGTAAATGATCGTTGGAGATTGAGCCCAGAGGGAGAGAAACACAGTTAGGCAGATAAAGGAACAGGTAAAGATCAGCGGAAAAATGAATAGCTACTAATGGGCACCAAAAGTGGCTGACAATGGGTTGTTTGTGGTAGTAGCCCATGTAATGACAAGGCCTGGTTTGTGGGGGTTAGGGTAAAGACTTAGGAGAAGGTGCTTAAGCCCTAAAATTGTTGAACTCAACACTGAGTCCAGAAAGCTGCAGAGTTCCTAAACAGAAAATGAGATGCTGATCTTCCAGCACGCACTGAGCTTCGCTGGAACACTGCAGCGAGCCCAAGACAGAGATGTTGGCCAGGGAACGGTGGTGTGTTGAAGTGGCAGGTAACTGGCAGCTCAGGGTCATGAGCTTGAAATTGTGACCCCTAGTGCTGACAAACCAACTGGTGGAAACAGAATATCCTTCTTTGTCTTGTCAAAATTGTTCATCATTTTGAATACCTCAATAAGGTCACATCTTAATCTTCCCTGCTCCAAGGAGAATAAGCCCAATTGCTCTAATCTTTCCTTGCATCTAAAATCCTTCATTTCTGAAATTATTCTAGTAAACCTCCTTTGCACTCTCTTCAGGGCTTTAACATCCTTCCTTAAATAAGATGCCCAGAACTGAACACAACACTCCAAATGTGGTCTGAGCAATGATTTGTAGAGGTGTAGCACCACTTCCTTGCCTTTATACTGTATGCCTCTATTTATAAATCCAAGGATCCTATAAGCTTCCTTAACAACTATTTCAACTTGCCTAGCCACCTTCACAGAATTATGCAGTGAACCGTGAGGTCCCTATGTTTCTATATTCCCCTCAAAGTTGTACCATTGAGACTGTATTGTCTGTCTCTCAGTATCTTCTACCAAAATGCATGACCTCACATTTCTCTGCACTGAAATTCGTCTGCTCATTTGAACAACTTGTGTACGTCCCTCTGAAGTCACTCAGTGTCATTCTCACAATTCACTATACTTAGCATAGTATCATCTGCAAAATTAGACATTCTGTCCTCAACACCCATCTGCAAATCATTTATGTAAATCAGGAAAAGAAAACACTGGAGAACACCACTTTCAAATTCACAATTATAAGGGACAAAGTGAAGAAAAATATCCAGATTCTTAATCCAGTTAATTCAAAGATGGCATCAAGAACAACAAGAAATAGTCAGGAAAGTTGAAGGGAAAACCCATGCATGGAGAATGTAGTACACTTGGTCTGTTAGATATTCTAACAGATCGCTAATATGAAAAGAACTGACCAATGATAGTTCTCCAAATTTAGATTATCTCCCCTCTTGGTGAGGAGACTGCACATGATAGACAGAGAAATCTCAAAGATTTAAATCTAAGTGATCTAAAAAATTAGTAGTTTGAAACCACTCAGTGGAAATTCTACAGGTCATTCTTGCACACCCGTTTAATGGAAGTTCTTGATCGATTACACTGGAGTGTGCACTGATAACTACTTACATTATTAAACATATTGTTTGAAAGCTTTTCTTTAATTTTAATTATTCTTCAAGCCACATAATGTGCAGTTTTGATAAGGAGGTTCCAAGAATGGAATTCTGCAAGTCCGATTCTACACTCAGTCCTCTGGCGCCACCTGAAGCCAGAGAAGATCATTGCCAGTGCCTCTACAATTTCACCTTGCGCTTCCTTCAACATCCTTGAATGCATCTCATTCGCTCCAAGGTGAATTATCAACTTTAAAGCATTAACAACCTATCCGAACCTTTTGCCACGTCATTTTAAGGCCTTCTTGTCACCCACTTTCTTTCTGTCACCATGCTTTGGGCAGTATCTGCGTTGAAGGTAAAAGCAGGTACAGGGTATTCATTTAACACCTCAATCATGCCTCTTGCCTTCACGGGTAAATCCCCTTTCTGGGTATCTTTCTTCTCCTTTGACCCCCCTTTTATTTATGTGCCTGAAGATGACTTTGGTATTCCCCTTCATATTAACTGTCTGTCTTTTCTCATAACCCTCTGGCTCTTATTTGATTTGTCACTTCCCTTTTGAACTCGATATTCAGCTTAATTCTCAGATATATTCACTACCAGATGCCAGTCACATGCACACTTTTTCCTCTTTAACTTGTTCTCTCTTTTATCATGAAGTCAGCTCTGAATTTGTTTCCTACTTTTTCCCTTCTCCTTCCCCATCTTTTCTGAACACCTTGCAACCAGGAATACTGAACAACCTGTCCTGCCATTTCTTGAGGCAGGTCAATTATTGTCACATCATAATCCCACATGCCAACTTGTGCCTGTAACCCTCCAACTTATTTACCGTATTCCATCCGCTCACATATATACAGCCTGATTTAGACTTTGTTGCTTGCTGCCTGACTCTGACTTCACCGAATGATTTTATATTCTCTATGCTAGTGCTATCCATCTCACCAAGAGTACCATGATATCCCTCTCAAATATTCGCTCTTAGTTTCCCTCTTCTAGTCAGTCAGTTCTTTAAAAGACTCTTTACTCCTGTATTCAAATTCTCTAGCAACAAAAGCTTAATATATCTTTTGCCTTCCTAACTGCTTAATGTACCTGCATTTGTGATGAAATGAATCACACTCTCTATATTTATATATGTATCATTTTTACCATCTGGATTTTAGAACAGTGGCATATGGGGTTGTGGTTACTTCTTTGAAGAATTTTTAAAAGAAATATCTAGGTCAAACAGTCTTTCTGGAGCAGTGACCTAATCCAGTATCTGTCAGAGAGCATGGAACTCTCAGAGAGTTAATGGAGGATTGTTTTTAAATGTGCTGGTTTATGAATGTGGGTAAACACTGAGGGCCATCAGCTAGTTTTTTGGTTCAGGATATTCAAAGCTTGATTGTTTATTTGATAATCCAGAGATCAGAAGTTATTGGGCAATTTGGAGGTTACTTGGCTGGGGTAAAATCAAGTATAGTTTCTCTCCAAAAGAGGAGAATAGATCACTTTGGGGAAAGCACCGCTACCTCAGTAGGAAAATTTAGTTTGTGCAGCATCCAAACCAGGAGTATCTGGTTAGAAATCTGCAGACTACCAGAGACTGAGAAAATTTAAACTGTTATTTTGTGAGTACTCATGTAAAATGACTTCACATTTCACAGGTAAGAACTGACAAAGATCAGTTAAGCCAAACCTGGTAATTAGATATATAAAAGTAATTTCTATGAAATTGAATCACTGTGAAGTGATGTCAGGGAATAGATGTCACTTTGTTTTGCTATACGTTTTAAGTTTTTTTCCAACTATATTGGATCTCAACAGCTTTTCTTTTGTGTTTTCGCCTTTTTGTAATAAAATTCTGTTCTAATGTTACAGAAACACTGCAGCCTCAGGTGACAATGTTTCAGTCAATGACCACCACATTAATTAAATTTAAAAAAAAAATACAATCTATCAGGCCAGAATTCATTCTGCGATCTGACTTCTCCAGTAGTATTATCAGTTGGGATCATAACAATATCAACTTTCAGTGATAGTATGAACAAGGCCACTCAGGTCCTTTTGGACATCAACACTTCCCAATCTCTCACCAAAGTTGAAAATTCCACACTTTTTCATATTATGTTTCATCTGCCACATTCTTCCCCACTCACTCAGCCAGTTTAAAATTCACTTGAAGCATCTTTACATTCTTCTTACAATTAACATTTCTGTCTAGTTTTGTTCCGTCAGCAAATCTGGAAATATTACACTTGGTCCGCACATCCAAAGCAATGAGACAATTATTTTTCCACACTCATACTTGCAATATGGCAGCTTGAGCAACTTCTTCCCTGAAATGTTGGAGATCAATGGAACTTTTAATCATAAAAGGACATAGTCGATGTCTGTAGATCTAGCTTTGTTAATATGCTTCCCTCCGATTCTTCAGTACTGTTACTGTTGGAACTTTCTTCATTAGAAAACTGTCCAGAATCTGTACTGGTTTGACCATTGTCATCAATTATCTCATTTCCAGTATTTGGTAAAGTTAAAGAACTGGAGTATGTACTCAGGTTTTCAGTTTCAAAAATGACTTTGAGTTGATCACAGCACTCTTCAGCATCTTCCTGTGGTGTTAGTTCAAGGAAGGCATTCTGGGTAGGTTCACTGAAATACTGCAAACAGTAAACAAAGGAAAGAGGATGCTAAGTAGAATTGTAATCATTTGCTATATTATTTATGCAGAGCTAAAATGTATCTATTTTAAAAAAAGTTTCCAGTTGTCTTGTGTCTTTCATAAACCCAAGAAATTAAAGTACCTTACCAGCAAGAAAATATATTTTACAGCATTGTCAATGCTATGATGTGGGGAAATATTAATTTGCACTCAGTAAAGACCCATAAACAGCTCCATAAGACCAATAACTGGGAAATATACTGGCTAGAACAGCAGGATTTCACAGTGCTCTTATTTACAATCTTTTATTTCTAATAAAGGGCAAATGGATGTTTTAGTTGAATATTTTGGTTGAAAAAATGCACCTGCAATAGTACAGTCGTTCTTCAGTGATGCACCAAATGATTTGCTGTTTGCTGTTTACTGACCAGATTAATTGCTCAAGCCTTTGGAACGTGGCTCGACTCTACAACATTCAGATTTAGAAATAAAAATGCTACCAAGAAATCAAAACCAACAGTTTATAAATAAGTAGATTCCCCTCTTAAGTTGTGAAGTGCCTTCCTTTCTTCACCTTTTACTACTAATTAGATGTGACTAAGTTGCAGATGAGATCCTGGGACAGCCACTGGCATTCAAGGTCACTATTATTTCACAAATTTATCTCCAGAAACTCTATCCCAAACACCTGGAGGGATACTGACAAAATATATGGGAAATATTTTTGAACATAAACCTTGGAAGTGACAATCTTTTGTAGAGATCATTTTCCACTACTTAAGGAATATTTTTCATGTGAGTTTTCACCTTCAAAAAGATGGCTGAAGACTGTCAACTAATTCCCGATAAACCTATAATACTGAAAAGGCTTAATATCTTGATTGTAATGTTGCCATATTTCATTTTAAGATAGGTATTGACACTCAAGTTAAGGCAAGAGCCTAGTTTTCAACAAGTCCTCAAAACTCAAACATAATTATGAATCAAAATAAAATAGTTAATGTAATGTGTCAACCTATAATCAATTTCTAAACAGTTTGCAGCATGACTCAAATGTCTGCCATCATCATTTTTTATTAAAAAGTTTTGTTCTGAAAAAAATTTAACACCCAAATTTGAAATAGAACACATACCTCTTGTAAATGCTCTGGCAAAATGTGTGGTGGAAAGAAAGCATACTTTATGCATCGGTACATGCAATATATACAGAATAAGCATCCTAATGTCACACCAAAAACAACCACCAGTGAGACGATAAAGGTTACACCAATCTGCCACAGTGGAATAGTACCTATACAAAAAATAAGAAACATGAACACTTCCAAATGGATGCTATTTCTTGTGAATAATTTCATAACATATATTTAAAGAATACATAAAATGCAATTAAACATTCCAAGTCACATCACAGCAGCATTATGAACTATGGTACGAGACCAATTAAGGAAACATTGGGCCAGGTGACTTAAAGCTTAGTATTTTAAGACCACCGCTTTGACTGTCTTAAAGACGAAATGAGGTAGAGGGGTAAAGAGGATATTCAATAACTCAGGATCTAGACAATGGAAGGTGCAGTCATCAACTGTATGGTGATTAAAACTGGGGATGCTCATGAGGCCACAATTAAGGGAATGCAGATATGCTGAGGGTTGTGGGAGTGGAAGAGATTGCAAAGACAGGGATTGGCAAGGCCAGGGAGAGATTTCAAAACAAGCATAAGAACTTTAAACCACAATGTTGCTTGATCAAGAATCTACAGAATAAAATATTCAATTTAACACAAGACTCAGTTTATTCTATTTAATCTCTTCACAGAATTAGCTTAATACAGTATTAAGTAGAAGGCATCTGACAAGTCTATTTAAATTAGTTTCCTGTTTTGTGCCATATTTTGAAATTATGTCCTCTTGTCCTAAATTTATGGAAAGTACAATAAGGGAGACCAACAACAGATTGACTAGTGTGGATTGAAGCACTAAGGTCTAGAGGTAACAAACATAAATGAGGGTTTCAGCAACAGATGAGTTTAGACGGGGAGAAGTTGTGTGATGTCACAGGTGGATTGGCAGACTTAGTGGTGGCATAAACATGAAGTAAAATAATTAAATCAAATCACTCAAGCAACAAAACACCTTACTGCCACTGGATAGATAATGCATCATGCCAGGTTTTTCTCAGAATGGAAAGCATGCGCGTCAAGGCAGCAGATAAACTAATAGAGGCATGAACACTAACAAAGTAATCTGCCAATAGGTTGGATAAATAAGGGGCTGAAACAGAATCACCTTTTTCCCCTATCACATTAGATTCTCTTTACACCTTAAGCTGACAGTTTGACTGAGATTGACTGAACTAAGAGCGCCAGTCCTTTGGAACTGAAATGCTTGAGCTGCCAAACCATCTTTTGTCAGCACCCCCAGCAAAACTGCCCTTCGACTGAGACAATATAGTTCAGTCAGAAAGACTGCTCCACTCAATGTTTTCAAGATTCCAATCCAAACAGGAGCAGAGACAAGACAAAGTATTAAATTACTGCGCAAGTTCAACAATGGCCTGCTCAATCACCTGGCCAGGGAAAAGCATGCGCTGTGGAAACAAGGGAAGTTAAAGAATAAATTATAGCTGTGGATAGTAGGTGTCAGTGATCGGAGGTAGGGGGTGTGATTTTTGGTTATGCAATACAACCAATCACTGATATTTTTAAAGAGATAACTGAAAGCATACCTTTAGTCATTTTGCAAACAACCTCACTAAATTGTCCTTCCACTCTAAATGTAGAGCTGAAAACCTGAACATGCAGACAGTATGTAGTCCAAGGTTCAAGTTCCAGTGACACGAGTTTACTTGTGCTGTTTTTCACCTGTAATTTAAATAACTAAGTTAATACAGAATTATGAACCAAATTAACATTTTGTTCAATTTGATACATTTTACCACACCAAAGGATTTATTTAATACAGTATACAGATTGAAAGCATTTCATTCTACAAAGTCTATTGTATTCTAACTAGTTAGCATTTTTGCACAGATAGCATCAGGTAAGTATTGAAAGTGAAGGATTAACAGTAAAACCATATTTCCATGGTGGGCTATGGCCAGCAAACAAAATTGTAATAGCACTCCAGTGTATCCATGATTCAGAAAGAAACAGACATTATCAAATTTATTTCATATAGAAAAAAAAAATGCATACTTTGAAGAGCAATCACAAAGTTAACTCTGATATCCTGATAGCTGAAAGTTTTCAAGTTAAATGAATTTGCAACAGCTCAACCAAGTGCTTGGCAATTTTTTCGGTGATTAAAACAGAGGTGGAATGCAGACAATGAGTAAAACTGCCTGGAAATTTGCCAAAAAAACCTAAGAAATGACTATCTATAAAGTGAATGCTAACATTTTCTTAACCACAGGGATGGAGGCTGATTATCTGATAGCATGACACTGCTCAATCTGATCCTGTCGTCAACACAGTAGAGCTGAATGTGAGCAATCTTGGTGGAAATTAAGTGCAGCCAAGTTCAAGTGCACTTGAAGCTCATAAGTTCCATGAAAAAGCCACAGATTTCTCACAATTTAAGGACATTCCAAAGTGATTTAAAGCAAACTAAATACTCTTTTTAAACTGTAGTCACTTGTGCAACACAAGAACAGTGACTAAAACTTCAAAATGAACATGGCAACTCTTAAAGGCAATGGATACATAAGAAATAAATGGGGGCGGGGGAGTGTCAAAGCATCTTTAAAAGTTACCATAGCAATGCAAGCTGTAAAGAGGGAAAGCAATGGTTTAGTTTGTACTCCTTGGAACAGTCTACAGTAGCAGAAGTATTATAATTAAACTATAAAAGGCTTTGCTAATATTTGCATATGGGACCACCATGTCCAATTTTGATTCTTACACAGTGAAGGATATTGATTCTGGACAGGTGATACAGGAGGGATACCAGAATGATCTAAACTTTGAAGTACTTGGATAGGTTCAAAAGTTCAAAGAATTGGGGTTACTCACTTTCAAGGGCATTTGATTAAGTTTTAAAAAATGACATAATTGAATACTTTCAGCTTTGACAATGCACAGAAGGCCATTAGGCTGAAACTGACCGAAAATCAATGCATTTACAAGCAGTTAAAAATTGGACCCGTTTAACTCTCACCACAGCTTCGTGCCTGCTGAGTTTCCAGCACTTGCTGCTCTTCCTTAAAATTAAAAATCCAAATATCTTTCTGTTACATTAATTCATTGAGCTACAGAGTTGGAATGCTTATACAAATAATGATAGATAAGGCGAAGGAGTGATTTGAAAACAAAGAAACGACGGAATTGTAACAGAAGTGTTGCTAGACAAGGATTCAACAGTTCTGTGAGTAAAATGGGATAATTGAGTGCAAGTTGGTGCAAAAGTTAGTTTAGTTTAAGATTATGAGATGAAAGATGGTAGGCGATTGGGGAAACATTGGAACAGTGATGACTAGTGATCACAAAGACACAGATGATGGTTTCTGCTATAGATTAACTGCGGCAGGGCGGACATGGGTAATGTTATACTTGTATGATTAACAGCATTTGTAATAGGGTGCATATGAAATTAGAAGCTCACAGTAGTCATGTGGGACACCAAGTTTGTGAATTGTTTAGTTTATCCTCAGACAGTGGCCAAAGAGAATTATTCTTCTGTATGTTGTTAGTTGTGATTGAAGTAAGTTATGGGCAATCACAACTCCTAGAGCTGTCTGGAAAATTTCTTGTTGACTTCCAAACAGCTTTCTTTTAAATCAGCTGCTCAAGAAATAGCATTGCAAGTATTTAGAAAGTTGCTCTGTTAACTGGATGGCCCAGCTGCCTTGTTCCTGTTAAAATATAATTCCTGATGGAGTCCAATATTCTACTTTTTAGCACCATCAACTTCATTTAGTTCCATTACAATTCCAGGTATAGAATAGACTATTCTAGCTTTAATTGTTCTAGTTTAACACTAGCAAAATCTTTTCTGCTTCCTTGCTCCACGAAGATAAACTCTGCAGTCCTAACAGCAACCAAATCATGCTCATTATTACCTGTGTTCATTAAATGACAATGATTTTGTTGACCAAAACTGTGATTTAAAAACTGTCACAGGTTTGCAAATCCTTGCATGACCTCAATTCACATTGCTCCACCCTAGTCAATCCTTCAAGGCCTTTACGCTCCTCCAATTCAAGCCCTGATTTCAACTGCTCCACATTGGCAGCTATGCAATCAATTGTCAACATGCAAAAAATTGAATTCCTTCCTTAAACCTCTGCCATTATTTCTACTTTTTTTAGGATGCTCCTTAAAACCTCTCCTCTCTGATGGGACATTTTTTAAAAATAAAAATTGATTCAGGTGCATGACCTGTTATTCAGTGAAATGTCAAACTCATGTGAAGATCCTTGAGACTTCCTATTATAAAGGCGCTATACAACATTTGTAAACTGTTGTTGCTCCGCCTTGGCTGGCTTTACCCAAAGCAAACAACTTGAACAAAGATACCTCCTACATTTCAAGTACAGCCAAGTATATATTTACGTATTTTTGATGTAGACCAATTTTATGTGTGGTCCATTGCTTCACTAATGGATGCGAGAGAACTGTTCACATTTCTAACATAGGCTAACATGTTATAATGCATTATAAACATGCACTTCACAGAACATACACGTATCGTTTTATTTAAATATTTTTTCCAGAAAGTTATCCTGTATTTAATATCTTTGTAAGTTTTCTGTATGGATGTGCTATTTTCTGTTTGTAGGTCCAAGATGTAGACATTAAGAGCATTTTCGTTTGAGTCCACTTGTATTGATGGAGGACCAATTTCATCTGTAATTTAAAGAAAAGTTTCAAATCAATGATTAAATGCAGAATTACTATTGATATTGATTTATGCAGGTAATTTTTAAAAAACTTTTACTTCATGAATAATTTAATTGTTCTATAATGTTGAATGTCATTACAAAGCTTTCACAAGTCTAGTATATATATTTTTATCCTGGCCAATTGTCTATTGTAGTCAGGAGTTCAAAATTCTAGATCTATACACAGTCAGAATTACTTTGATGAAAGTTTATTGACCTGAAACATTAACACTTTCTATTCTATACTATGTTCCTGCCCTATTAAGGATTTTCATAATTTTCTGTTCTGAATTCCTAGTGATCAGGATGGAGACATACACTTGGATGTCAACAATATAAACGTGAAAATTGATGGCTTATGGATAATATTGCTGAAAGAGCAGCATATAGATGAAAAAAAAAAGGAGACATCAAGGATAGAAATAGTTACTGATAGCTTCTGGCTGTGATAGCTAACAGAACCAGGAACTGTAATCCCCGATGGAGGAGAAGCATTGAAGGATGGTGCAGTCAACTGTGTCAAAAGCTAGACAAGTTGAAAGGACAAGGGTATATACTTTATCTTTGTTACACCTATTTAGGATGCCATTTGACTTTAGGAACTCCAGTGGAGTAAATACTGGATTGGAAAGATTCAAACACTTTTCAGTGAAAGACAGGTTCAGATGTATAAAGAGACAGGATGTTGAAAGATTTGCAGGGAAAGCAAGGTTGGAAGTGAGGTTGAGTGTTCGAAGGACAATGGAATCAAGGGTTGGTTTGTTGAGAAGAGGCTGATGGAGGATTTACAGAAGATACACATATACCTGAAGACAGAGAACCATTAACAATATCAGCTAACATGAGGAACATGAGGAGAAGCCAGGAATCTATAAAGATTTATGTGATATAGCCAAACCTGGCAGTGAAAATCAAACCAGTTGTCGTCCTAACCATTTAAGTCTGTGTCTTTTCAATTTAAGGGATTAGTGATAAAAGCTAAATTGGAACAACAGCTAGGGTGAGTGAGATTAATGGTTATAATAGGGGCTATGGCAAGGGTGGAAATGAAGGAGTGGTTAAGATGATCAGTAACTGAGAACCGTTGAAATGAACAGACAGTCAAGGGCTGTTCAGGCTAATGTACCTTGACCATGCTCTTACATCTTTCCAGTAATCTATTATCATAGAATCATACCATACAGAAGAGACCGTATGGCCCATCGAGTCTGCACTGACGTAGAAACTACTCTAAATCTGCACTAGTCCCACTTTCTAGCTTTTGGCCCATAACCTTGAATGTTACGACATTTCATAATCTAAATATTTTTCCTGCCTCAACTATCCTCCCAGGCACTGCATCCAGGTCCCTATCAGCTGCTGGGTGAAAAACTGTTCCCTCAAATCCCCACTTTCAACTTAAAATTATGCTCCCTTCAACTCAGGAGTCATCAAGTACTTAAGAAAACACTGAACAGATTGGGATTTATGGTTGGTGTAGGTAAATTGGACTGAAGGGTCTGTTTCTGTCCTGTATGACTCTAATAAACAAGAGTTTACTTTTGATCAACTTTTAGCTTAGGTCCTCATGGAGGGGGTCAGTGATTAAATCCGGTCACCATGAAGTCAATTCCTCGCTAGTCAGCGAGGAACATCTGACGTAGCACATAATTCTCCAGCTAGTCTCTTGGCTTCAGGGTTTCAAGTGTGAAATAAAGAAAGAATGCAAGCCATTTCCTGTTACGCATGGACCGAAAGTACTCCTAATTTGGCATCAGACAAGTCACAACAGAGAGGGCAATTGGGAAAAATATACTGTTGCAGTATTTTTAAAGGTTGACATAGATGGAGGAAATGTTTTGTTTGCACCTAAATCATAATTTATCTGAACTAATGGCTTCCTAGTTAAAACAGCACATTACAAAAACATTAGTATCAACCTTGAGCACGAATTCAGTCAAAAAAAAAAGCATGGCAATCTATCACGTGCCAACAAACTGTGAATTGGATAATTTACTTACATGGTCAGCTTGAGAATATACATATGGAACCCACTAAGACACCGTACTTAGACTGTCATGCTGCAAAGTATTATGTTACATTTTTTGCCAAGTCTTTGTGGAAGTATCACAAATGACACTGTTACTGTAGAGGCAAAAAAAAATTAGCTTATACTGAATATATACTTGATGCAGGATCCTTAAAGCTAGCGGAGAGGTTTTCATTCCACCAGAATTATCTAGGATTGAATTCACATGCCTAAGGTGGAAAGCCCCTGTAAGCCAAATACTGTTTGACTTTAATCTCCAAGATGTTTCTTACTGTGTTTATAGGGTGCAAAGCATGCTGATTCCAACCAAGCTGATGTTTGATTCCCCTGTTGAGCTCGTAGACGGAAGGTATAGCTTCCAAAAAAATTGATGTTTGTTGAAGTTAAATCACACATTGTTTGGTTGATGTTTTTACATCCCTTCACATCTCTCCAGTTTCCAACACTACTAAGAAGAAACAATTAACAAAATCAGTAAATTGCGACGAGTATGAGGTATAAAAATACATTTCAGGGCTGTGCTTTTAAACAAATGATAAAATAACGGGGTCATGAACCTGTTCTGAAGACTGCCTAACAACAAGCCTGGGTTGTATAGCTGTTAAAGATTAAAGGAAGACCTGGTTGCTTCACTGAAAGAAGGTGCAAGGTGTTCATACTTAGAGACAATAATAATAGCATCTGTGCTTACACACTTTCCAGTCCTAGGAAAGTTGAGAGTGTTAAGTTAAACAGTTATACTTTAAAATGCATTTACTTATAAGATAAAATACAGTTGGGATCTAATCAATACAAGGGTAGAAGACACATTGATATGGAGATGGAAAGGATTTCTAAGATATCCTGGCAAACACTCAGACATGGGATTGGGAGGGAGTGCAAAGCTAGAGGTTGAAAGACTCTGCCTCATGAAGGAGAATACAGGTGGTAGTTTATGCACGGACTGAAATGACCAAATTAATGGGGGTTTGAAACTAGACTGGAAGATATGCTTACTTTGTGCTGGAGAGGAAATCTCCAGAAGAAACCTGGCCATGAAAAACTGACTTGGGATTAAAATTGAGATAACAAGGTGCAGAGCTGGATGAACACAGCAGGCCAAGCAGCATCAGAGGAACAGGAAGGCTGATGTTTCGGGCCTAGACCCTTCTTGGATTAAAATTACCAGGTTGGCAAATGAAAAGTACAGAAGTAAACCTTAGGAGTTAAGAATGACCTTGGGCTCGTTCTGGGAAAAGATTCCTTAACGGACAGATTGAAGATTAACTGTGGACAGAGAGATTTTCATTGCATTATAAGTAAAGGAAAATGTTTTGCTTTATAGCTTAAAGCATAAGTTGCCCCCTAAAATGGTGTAATCAATGTTGCTTGTTGCAGTAAATAATGTAAGACTTGAAATCTTATGTGATCTTTTAGATTAGTCAAATAACTCAAATTTCTTTCTGGAATTCTACCGTTGTAACAAAATGATAAAAGTTGATTACATTTAATACAAACACTGGTTTTCATTTCAAACAAGCTGAATTAACATAATAAAGGCAAATGTAACTTAATTCAATGACATGCAAAATAGCCATGCCAACCAATAAGCCAATTCATGCATTACTCATGGTGAATAGTACAGATGCTGATCAGAAGCACAGCCAGAATATGCTACCCCAGAAAATTAGGATCATTTTGACTACAATGGGAGAGTGAAACAGGAATTACGGTTACAGATACAGAAAAGGACCGAGCATAGAGAAAGCATACATGCAAATTAGTTTTTGAAATTGCAATGTAATTGTTATACCCACATTAGCATGAAAGATGAGTTCTACCATCGTGATTTTTAGTATGTTCACACCTTTTCACACATACTTACGTATTGATGTTCATTGTGTGGTTTACTTGTGCTTCACAAATTCTACTAAGACCAGAGGATACAAATTTAAATAAATTGAAAAAATTTTTTACAGTGAAACTTTTACAATAATGAATAGAAAAAGACAGGCAAGTTCACAAATAAAAAAGGTATCAGTGAAATTAACACACATCTAGATATTAGCCTGACAGCTTCTAACAAAAAAGCAAATATCCAGATTTTTTTTAAAAAAGAAGTTCTTTCTTGGAATGTGGGGATTGCTGGCATGGCTACATTTGTTGGCCAACACTAATCATCCTGAAGAAAGTGATGACGAGCTGGCTTCCTAACCCCTACAGTGCCTATAAGTATTCCATTTTGATTTTTCTGAAACTATTTTGTACAACTGAGTGACACGCTAGGCCATTTAAGAGACCAATTGAGAGTCAACTAAATTGCTGTAAATCTAGAATCATATGTAGATGAGACAAGGCAAGGACAGGTAGATTTCTATAACAACTAATGACAGTTTCATGATCACTGTAACTATGACCTGCTTTCAGTTCTGCATTTTTAATAATAGAGTTAATTAAGTAAGCTTAAATTCCATGAGCTGCTGTAGTGGGATTTCAACCTATGCCCAAAGAAGATTGGCCCAAGTCTCTGAATTACTAGTCCAATTACATTACGACTAAAATAAAACTAAGAACGGTTGATGGTGGAAATCTGAAACAGAAAGAGAAATTGCTGGAGAAACTCAGCAGGTCTGACAGCATCTGTGGAGAAAAAGCAGAGTCAATGTTTCGGATCCAGTGATTCTTCGTCAGGCCCTTCTGAAGAAGGGTCACTGGACCTGAAGTGTTGACACTGCTTTCTCACCACAGATGCTGCTAAACCTGCTGAGTTTCTGCAGCAATTACTGCTTTTGGCATATGACCACTATATTACTGCTTCTCCCTGTGGAGTTACAAAGTGCAAAACAGGCAAAGAAGTGAATGATCTCTCATAGTAATTCCACCCATCCAATGCAAGAAGAGTACTTAGTGATGAGTAACAGGGGATGATGCTCAACACCACATTTGTGCTATCTCAGTATTGCAGAATTTCACATACACATCAGCTGCAACCTCTATAATCACTGGCTCTGAAAGATATCAACAGTTTTAACTGAGTTAGAAAGAGGTAACATTTTCTTCAACATAGATCAGAATGCACCCTGTGTGTTTTTCTTGTCACCAGATGCAAATAGGTGTCAGTCTTTGGTCAACTAGCATTTCCATTCTAGTTTTACCAGTTTGCAACAAAGCAAACACAGGTCTAGTGCTGAGTATTAAGAAAAATACTAATGAAGATGTAACAGCTGAAAACAATAGCAATAATTTCAACAATAAAGTGATTTGGTGCCAAATTTTGGTTGTGTGCTTCCATGGGCTTTGTAGTGATTTCCTGAAACTGCTTTCACAGGGTTAACTTAAATGTACCCTTGCAAAGCAGGTCTATCAATCCTTAGCATTGTCAAAGAACTGAAATAGTTTGCAGCACGGATATTACAACAACACAAATGACAGAGATTATCATGCATTATGATGGACAGAATTGACGTGATTTAGATATTAGGATACTACCTTGAGACAGAAACTATTTTTATTAAATCAATCACATGTAATGCTTTCACTTACCCACTCAGTTAAAACACTAAATCTTTATAACCTCAAAGCTTGACTGCTCTAATCATTTTCTTCCTAGCCTCTTATTTTTATCAAACTCTGCTGGCCATCTTGTCCCGGTAAATCTCTTAAGATTTCCTCTTATTATTTTCCAGTAATCTCATTGCTAGGGGAGAATGACAACGTTGAAGTAATGTCACTGGAATAGTAATCCAGAGGTTCAGGCTAATTCTCTGGATATAGGGGTTCAAATTCCACATGACAGCTGGTGGAACTTAGATTCAATTAATAAAGCCCGAAACTGCAAGCTAGTTGTGAATAATCTCCATTAGGGGGAGGAAATCTATTGCCTTTACGAGGTCCAGCCTACATGTGACTCCAAACTCAGTGTAATGTGGTTGACTTGTAACTGTCTTCTAAAATAGCCTGATAAAACCACTCAGTTGGAATAGATAGGGAGTTTTCTGTATGGAACAAATAAGAAATGCTGGTCTTGCCAATGATGCACATATTCTGCAGAGAAAAGAAACTGAATGATTAAGTCATGTGTGTTCATGACGCACACTTCTCCAAAACAATTTACTTCACATTCCTTGTTGACATAGGACCTCCGTTAATTCAGTGGCACCTGGAACCCCCTTTTCAAATTTTCTCTGGAAAACCCATCTTTAGTATCCTTTTGGTCCCTAGTCAGCTTTGTTTCCCTCTCCCCGGCTCCATGTTCGCACCTTTGCTTCTGCTGTGTGAAGTGCGACAAGATCATTTTTTGTATCTGAGAACTGAGAAATGCGAGATTATTTTAGAAAGCTTAAATAGAAGAATTATTGGCTTACCTTTTGTGCTGTACTGTATAGTTCACACTGTAATTATCTCGTTGCACATCATCCCAGTTAAGCGCATACTTTAGATTATAAGCATGAATCTGTAAATTTGTAGGTATCTGTATTTCTCCAAACACTGCCAGAAACAAATACAAAGCAAATGAATGTCATACATACTTTATAGTAAAAGCAAAACAAACTTCAATTGTTTTAACCTTTCCTGGACAGGTTGAGACATTTATCACAGAATTTGCAGTACAGAACGAGGTCATTTCGACCCATCATGTCTGGACCGGCTCCCGAAACAGCTACCTGGCCACATATTCTCCAGTGCTAGCTCTGTAGCCTTCTAAATTCATCACTTTCAAATACATATTCAGCTCACTTTTGAAATTTCATATGGAATCGGTCCCCACCATTCTCCCAGGCAGCACATTCCAAATCCTAACAACTCTCTGACTAAAAAAGCTTTTCCTCATCTCATTCCTAGCTCTTTTGTTGACAGTCATGAAATTGTGAACACTAGTTAGTGAAATACCAACTAGTGGAAACAAAATATCCTTCTTTACCTGGTGAAAATTGTCATAATTTTGAATACCTCAGTAAAATCACCTCTTAATCATCTCTGCCCCAAGGAGAATAAGCCCAATTTCTCTAATCTTTCCTTGTGTATAAAATCCCTCATTCCTGGGATCGTTCTAGTAAATCTCCTTTGCAGTCTCTCCAGGGCTTTAACATCCTTCCTTAAATAAGGTGCCCAGAACTGAACACAACACTCCAAGTGTAGCCTGACCAGTGATTTGAAAAGGTGTAGCATGACTTCCTTGCTTTTATAAACTATACCACTATTTATAAGCCTGTTTTAACTTGCCGGGTCACCTTCACAGAATTATGCACATGAATCCGAGGCTGCTTCTGCTCCTGTACTACCCTTGAAGTTATACCACTGAATCTGTATTGTTTCTCCTATCAAAATGCATTACCTCACATTTCCCCGCTTTGAAATTCATCTGCCAGGTGTCTGTCCATTTGACCAATTTGTCAAATGTCCCTCTGAAGTTATCTAAGATTACAAAGAGATCTTGATCAATTGGGTCAATGGGCTGACAAGTGGCAGATGGAGTTCAATTTGGATAAATGTGAGGTATTGCATTTTGTTAAAACAAACAAGGGCGGGACTCAGACAATTAATTGTTGGGCCTGGAGTACTGTTGTTAGAACAGAGAGACTGAGGGGTTCAGGTACATAATTCTTTGCAATTTGTGTCGCAGGTAGACAGGGTAGTTAAAATGGCATTTAGCATGCTTGCCTTTATTGCTCAGACCTTTGATTATAGGAGTTAGGATGTTGTGCTAGCGTTGTATAGGACTTTGGAGAGGCCACTTCTAGAGTACTGTGCACAGTTTTGGTCACCCTGTTATAGGAAGGACATTATTAAACTGGAGAGGATCCAGAAAAGATTTACCAGGATGTTGCGAGGAATGGAGGGTTTGAGATATAAAAACAGACTAAGATGGCTGGGACATTTTTCCACGGTAGCATAGAAGGTTGAGAGGACTCTTACTAAGGTTTATAAAATCATGAGGGGCATAGATAAGGTGAATGACAAGGGTCTTCTCCTTAGGGTGGTTGAGTTCAAAAGTAGGGGGCATATTTTTAAGGTGAGAGGAGAAAGATTTAAAAAGCACGAGGGGAATCTTCTTTTTACACGAAGAGTGTTTCATGCGTGCAATGAACTATTAGAGGAGGTAGTGGATGCAGGTACAGTTACAACATTTAAAAGACATTTAGAGAAGTTCATGCATAGGAAATGTTTGGTGGTTATGGGCCAAGTGCAAGCAGGTAGAACTAGTTTAAGTTTGGGAACATGGTGGGTATGGACTGGTTGGACTGAAGGATCTGTTTCCATGCTGTATGATTCTATGACTCTATAAGTTGCTCAGTGTCATCTTCACAATTCACTATTCCCCACTAGCTTCATATCATCTGCAAATTTTGCCCTCTACACCCATCTCCATTTATATAAACTGTTTATATAGTTAAAAACAAACCAAGGTCCTAGCACTGACCCTGGGGAACACTACTTCCAACTCATCTCCAATCTCAAAAATGCCTATCTATACCTATCCTCTGTTTCCTATTTTTGAGTCCACTTCTAATCCATGCTATCAAGGACCCATCAATTCCAAGCATTTATAATTTGCTAACCAACCTGCCACGTGGCCCATGTCAAATGCTTTCTGAAAGTCTAAATATACAACATGCACTGCAATAGCCTCTTTCACTGCCTGTGTCACTTCTTCAAATAACTCAATCAAATTAGTCAGTTATGACCTGCCCTTGACAAAGCCATGTTGACTGTCAAGTATTAACCTGTTTTATTAACATGATTTTCAGGTAAAAATATTCCTTTCCTCCTTTTCTAAAGGAAAGGATCAAACTGGTGTAATTAATAGTCATATTAAGTACTGAACAGGAACAGGAGAAAGCTGTACAGTCCCTTCAGTCGGTTTCACCATTCAATAGGATTAGGCTGATCTGACATTCCCCACAGCCATTTTGCTGTGTTTTTCTTGTAAGCCTTGATTCTCCTACTGATGAAGAATCTATCTTAGCTCTCTGTGGCAAAGAGTTCCATAGACTCATAATCCTCAGAGAAGAAATTCTACCTCATCTCACTCACTGAATTAAGAGCTGCCAATTTAAGACGATGCCCTCCAGTCCTAGAGTGTCCCATGGCGGGTAACATTCTCTCGGCATTTACCCGGTCGAGCCCTTTGAGAATCCTACAGGTTACAATGAGATCATAATTCATTCTTCTAAATTCTCGTCAGTAGAGACCCAACCTTTTAGCCTCTGCTCATAAGACAATCTCTCCACGAGGGATCATCCCTTTCTGAACTGCCTCCAATAACATATTTTCTTAAATAAGGAGACCAAAACTTTTCACAGTAAGTACCCTGAATATGGTCTCACCATGTACTTCGCAGTAAGACTTCCTTACTCATACTCTGACCCCATTGAAGTAAGGACTAACATCCACTATTAGCCTTCCGGATTACCCACAGCACCCGTATGCTGGTTTCTATCTTTCAAGTACCCCCCTGTCCCTTTGCATTGCAGTTTTCTGTATTTAAATAGTATTTACTTAAAGTAGTGTTCACCCCTGCGTTCCAGTTCCTGAGTTTCCAGCCATTATTTAAATTCAGTATTGGTATGTGGGCGATGCCCACACAAACAGTCTCAAGGTGGTAGTGATGAAACATCTTGAAACACTGCACTCTTAATGACTAAAGAGATGGGAAAGCATTCTCTTGTACAAGATAGGGTAGAGGAGATACAAATGAGGGAGACCACCCTTGAGTTACTCTCGCAGATTTACAACAGCAGAGGGTGACTGGACCCGAAATATTAACAGATGCAGCCAGACCTGCTGATTTTTGCCAAAAAGTAATTCTGTTTTTGTTTCTGATACCATATATGTTTAAATAAGAATTGCACTTTTAAAACCAAACATTTAGGGCAAAATCTGGAGGTTGAATTTCACATAGGTAATGTTTTCAAGGAATGGACATGCATTCTTGATTTGGGCCAAAATGAACGGATAAGGTCACATGGCCAGGAACCCAAAATGTTGCTACATTAATTTAAATAGTATTTAACCCAATTTAAAAATGAAGCTGGAGCTCATTGGATAAACCTCTCAAACCCAATCCTCTACTCAATCTCTCCTAAGGATTGCTGCAAAAAGAAAACTAGCCTGAAATTGCATTTGTACTGCACTTCACAAAAATATTCTTCTTTCCTCCAGGCAATTATTTCAGCGGTATCAGCAAGTCCACCATCCACTCTTGCTCTCTGCTAAGTTTCCGGTAATATTCTCTCATTAAAAATAGAATCAGCATTTATAATCTCAACTGCTAAAGCATCACTTCAATTATCTCTTCGTAACTTTTATTTTTCCATATTATCACTCAGATTGAGAAGTATTTCATTAATTTTGCCCTTGCCTTTGCAACTGCAATCCAGCCATTTTAAGCAACGGCTTCTTTCCGCCCATTATCAAATAATGTTTGGTCCTGATTTTTTTTTTTATTTTGATCCCCCAAAAGCTAGCATTTTACAAATCATGGAGTTGACTTTTACAGGATCAACTTTTACACAAGTACATAGTTTTATTATTATTGCCACCGCAAAACTCTGGACTATGTGCCTGAATTTTGACTACAGTTGGTGTACACTCCAAGCATGAAATAACAGACAAAATATTACATTGCTAAGTGCCTGATGTTGTATTACTGAATTTTCACAATGCACTCATTAGAACAAAACTAGAGTAAGTGAACACTCTGTGAACACCGTGCTCAATACTAAATAGATAACCTCGAGTACCTACAACATGGATGAACTGATCAAGTTAATTACTCGAGTAAAGAATGAAAAGAACAGCATCCTGCTTCCTGAAACTTACAGTGGACATATCATCACTTGCTGGGACAAAGGATAGCTGGGAATGGGACTGAAATTAGTGTACAAAGGGGCTATATACATTAGTCTTTACATGGACTAAAGCACAGTTCTTTGGGCACGGAAGTGAAAACAAGTACTGTAGGATATCAGTAATGAAAGTAAACTTTGAATGATTTACATAAGAGAAAAGATTAGTAGACAGTGTAATGAGATGTTTCTTGCAAGACTTCTCTATGCAAATATTTTAACGGGGAAAGCAGACAATTGAAACAGACAGTGGAGATGAGGTGCTTGCAATTTCATTACTAAGAGAAATATAGTTTCATTTTTACAAAGTGCTTCTTCAAAAAGAATTCAACTCAGAACTCCCACCTCTGAATGTCAGAAAACAAGATAAAGTGTCAAACTCAGCATTTCAAGCAGGCTGAACAAATACTTATGATTCTTGACTGGTACCATGCAGAACAAATTTCAACTAGAACCCTCAGTGACCTTTAATGCATGTCAGTAGTAATTAAAGCTGTTCTGATTCCACAAACCACATAAGTGAAGGTATCAGCTATATGTTATCAGTAGAAGCTCTATTATCAGCATCTCTTTACAGTAGATATTATTTTTAACAAAACATATCACTTATTAAACAGTGTCTAGTATGGGAAATATGAA